AACCAGACTCAAACTTAGCAAGGACATACTTCATTTGAGGGAAACAATGGAAGAAAGGGACTTAGTAGATATATGCAGGACACTTCATCCACAAAAAGCTGAATACACATTCTTCTCAAGCGTACATGGAACATTCTCCAAGATAGACCACATGCTGAGCCACAAAACATGCCTCCATAAAATTAAGAAGGTAGAGATTGTATCAACAATCTTCTCAGACCATAATGCGCTGAAATTAGAAGTAAATCACACACAAAAACAGAAAACTAAATCAAACACCTGGAAATTAAACAGTGCACTATTGAACAACGAGTGGATTAGACAGGAAATCAAAGAGGAAATCAAAAGATTCCTAGAAACGAATGAAAATGAGAACACGAGTTACCAAAACTTATGGGACACAGCAAAGGCTGTGTTAAGAGGAAAGTTTATAGCTCTACAAGCATTCCTCAGGAAGGAGGAGCGAGCACACATAAGTAACCTAACCTCACAGCTTAAGAGCTTGGAGAAGGACCAAAAAAAGGAGCACAACCCGAACAGGAGAAAGGAAATAATAAAACTCAGAGCAGAGATTAACGAGATGGAAACCCAAAAAACAATCCGAAAGCTCAATGAAACCAAAAGCTGGTTCTTTGAGAAAATTAACAAGATCGATAAGCCTCTAGCAAAACTCACAAAGAAAGCTAGAGAGAAAACCCTAATAAACCGAATCAGAAATGAAAAAGGGGTCATTACAACAGAAACCACAGAAATTCAGAGGATCCTCAGGGAGTACTTTGAAAAGCTTTATGCCACGGAACATCAAAACCTCGAGGAAATGGATAAATTCCTAGACTCCTACAGACTCCCAAGGCTGAACCAAGAAGACCTGGAATACCTGAACAGACCTATCACCATCAAGGAAATTGAAATGGTAATAAAAAGTCTCCCCAAGCACAAAAGTCCTGGCCCGGATGGATTCACTAGTGAATTCTTCCAAATCTTTAAAGAGGACATACTCCCGATGCTCTTTAAGCTTTTCCACGAACTTGAAATATCAAAAACACTTCCGAACAGTTTCTACGAAGCAAATATCACACTGATACCAAAAGCAGACAGAGATACCACAAAGAAAGAGAATTACAGGCCGATATCCCTGATGAACACAGATGCAAAGATCCTCAACAAACTACTAGCAAATAGAATCCAACTACTCATCAAAAAGATCATACACCATGACCAAGTAGGATTCATCCCAGGGATGCAAGGATGGTTTAACATTCGGAAATCAATCAACATAATCCACCATATCAACAAAAGAAAAGATAAAAAGCATATGATCATATCAATAGATGCAGAGAAAGCATTTGATAAGATCCAGCACCCCTTTATGATGAAAACCCTAGCCAAAATGGGTATAGAGGGGACCTTCCTCAACATAATTAAAGCCATCTACGACAAGCCTACAGCAAGCATCATCCTCAATGGGGAAAAACTGAGAGCCTTCCCTCTAAGAACAGGGACGAGACAGGGATGCCCACTCTCTCCACTGCTGTTCAATATAGTACTGGAAGTACTTGCAATAGCGATTAGGCAGGAAAAAGATATTAAGGGCATTCAGGTAGGAAAGGAAGAAATCAAGCTCTCACTATTCGCAGATGATATGATACTCTACTTAGAGAACCCAATAACTTCCACCAAAAAACTCCTAGAAACAATAGACTCGTATAGTAAAGTTGCAAGTTATAAAATCAATACCCAAAAGTCCATGGCTTTCCTATACGCAAACAGTGAGAGAGAAGAAAGCAACATGAAAAAAACAATCCCGTTCACAATTGTGCCCCAGAAAATCAAGTACCTAGGAATCAGCTTAACTAAGGAAGTAAAGGACCTGTACAAAGAAAACTACAAAACGCTACTTCAGGAAATAAAAGAGGACATGAGGAAATGGAAAGATATCCCTGCTCATGGGTCGGGAGACTTAACATTGTCAAAATGGCAATACTACCAAAAGCATTGTATAAATTCAATGCAATCCCTATAAGGATACCCATGACATTCTTCAAAGAAATGGAGCAAACACTCCTGAAATTTATATGGAACAATAAGCCCCCACGAATAGCTAAAGCAATTCTTGGGAAAAAGAAAATGGGAGGAATCAACCTCCCGAACTTCAAACTGTACTACAAAGCAGTAATAATTAAAACAGCATGGTACTGGAACAAAGGCAGAACTGCAGACCAATGGAACAGGGTTGAATACACTGACACCTCTCCTCAATCATATGCTCATCTAATCTTTGATAAAGGTGCAAGTAATGTGAAGTGGAGTAAGGAAAGCCTCTTTAATAAATTGTGTTGGCATCACTGGATGGCTACATGCAAAAAAATAGGCTCAGAACTCTGCCTAACACCATGTACAAAAGTAAGATCAAAATGGATTAAAGACCTCAACATCAGACCAGAAACCATAAGGTACATTGAAGATAAAGTTGGCAAAATCCTCCATGACATTGAAGCTAATGGTATCTTCAAAGATGCCACGCCACTGGCCGAGCAAGTGAAAACAGAGATAGATAAATGGGACTATCTTAAACTAAGAAGCTTCTGCACCTCCAAAGAAACAGTGACCAAAATACAAAGACAGTCTACAGAATGGGAAAGGATATTCGCCGAATACACATCTGACAAGGGGTTGATATCCAGGATATACAAAATACTGGTTAAACTCCACAAGAAGAAAACATCCAACCCCATCCAAAAATGGGGCAATGAAATGAACAGAAACTTTCTCAAAGAAGAAATCCGAATGGCAAAAAAGCACATGAGAAAATGCTCTACATCATTAATCATCAGGGAGATGCAGATCAAAACCACAATGAGATACCATCTCACACCTCAGAGACAAGCCCACATTCAAAAGAACAAAAGCAACCGATGCTGGCGTGGATGTGGTGAGAAAGGGACTCTATTTCACTGTTGGTGGGAATGTCCACTGGTTCAGCCCTTCTGGAAAACAGTATGGACGATTCTCAAAAAATTAGAAATTGAGCTCCCATTTGACCCAGCAATACCACTCCTGGGAATATATCCCAGAGAGGCAAAAATGTATAGTCGAAGTGACATCTGCACTTGTTTGTTCATTGCAGCACTCTTTACAATAGCCAGAAACTGGAAGAAACCTGAGTGCCCAAGAACAGATGACTGGTTAAAGAAACTTTGGTACATCTACACAATGGAGTACTATGTAGCTCTTAGAAAAGATGAAGTCATGATATTTACATACAAGTGGTACAATATGGAAAGTATCATGCTAAGCGAAATGAGTCAGAAAGAGAGGGATAGACATAGAAAGATTGCATTCATCTGGGGGATATAAAGTAACAAAGTAAGAGATTAATACCCAAGAATAGCTGAGATCAGCACCAGGAGGATTACTCCATAACTTAGAGGCCAGCCGGGTATCCTAGAGGAAAGGGCAGTTCAGAGAGAGAAGGGAGCACCAAATAAAGGATGTTTGGAGGATCCTCCCAGGAGGGGAGATGCATGTCGAAAGTAGACTATGGACTGAACATGTTTGCCACTCAATGCCTCTTTTGCAGACCACAACACCCAAAAGGAGAGAGAGAACACAGGGGATTGCCCTGCCACAGAGACAGGGGGGATGGGGGGATGGGGGTGGGAGGGATATTATCCATGGTGGTGGAAAATGGGCACTGGTGGAGGGATGGGTATCTGATCATTGTATAATTGAAACCAAAGCACAAAAAATTGTAAATCTACAACTTTAAAAAAAAATAAAATATAATAAAGGGGAAAAAAAAAAAGAACTGCTAACATAAACACTAGGCATGCAGTTCAATTTTAATTTTAGAATGATAAAATTCAAATTTGAAATTCAGATTATGAAATTTTTCAAATTTGTGAGGAAAACCTCTGAGGCAATGTGATTTTTCCAAGGTAAAGGTAAAGGCCCTCCCGTTGATCGTGGATTTGCTCCAGCAGGCCCAGTAATGTCTCCATTGGAGACTTTGTTGTTACTGTGTTTGGCATATCGAATACTCTCGGTAGCTTGCCGGTCTCTCCGAGAGGGGCGGAGAACTCGAACTCGGGTCAGCCATGTTGGCCGCTTGTAAGGTGAATGCCCTACCGCTGTGCTATCGCTAGTGATTTTTCTAACATTAAAAACTAAGGCTATCTTATATTTTTTTGTTTGATTCATCTAGCAACATGCAGCCTAGAAAACATAGCTGACATGATCTTACTTATTCCTACCTTAATTTCTTCTATGCTAATACTAGCTCGTCTCTATAATATGCATGTCATAGTCTTTGGATTCTTCAGATAGGCTCAGTTTGTTGCCTTTTGATCTCTCCTTACATAAAATCCTAAAGTAACAGCAAAATCATAAAGATTCTCTTAATTCTCTCAGACTCTCCATGACCAGCTGGTCTCATATCGTCACTCATAAAGAACCCTATATATTCCCCTATAATTTCCATATATATTTAGATGAACCCATTACTGTCTGGAATTATTTCATTCATTTTTTGAAACTTTGCCTTGACTTCCCTGACCCTTTTCATCTAAATCAACCCCACCCCAATTACAACTGAGTCCTCCTGACAGCGCCATGTTCATTATTGTGCCTAGTATGCAATTGGTTTCTAGTAAAGTTTGATACTTAAAAAAATTAATGGCTGTCAAATCAATGAAATGCAAGAGGTTTATTTCTTTTTTAATGTTATGTTTTAGAATAATTTTAACTTTATAGAAAATTGACAGAAGAGAGACAAAAAATTCCAATATATCTGCCTTGTTGGTTTCCTGAGACCAATTTTCAGCACTGATATCTGAAGGTTTCTCTCTACCAGCAAGCAATTCTCAAATACCAGCAGTGTTTCAAAAATATTCTTCTAAATTCTAATACTGTCAACCTAAAGAACTGAGACCCCATGTATGGAAGGGCTCAGTTTTCCAGAATCAATCTCCACACCAGATAGAGGTTCCAGCTCCAATTACCAACTGGGCTTCTGACCAGATGACAAAACACTGAAGATGTTCTGAGTCTCCTCCTCAGAATCCATGCTGGAGGTGACAAACCAAGTCCAATATCTGTGTTTTTGATTGACAGGCTATAAACCCAAGGTTCCCAGAGCACCTACCTCAAATTTAACTATTTTCTGGTATAGCACACAAATCTAAAGAGAGCGATTTGCTCACTAGGGCCCCAATATATTGCAAAACTACTACTTAAAGGAAACTCTGAAAATAAAAGCTACTACAGGATTTGTTGAACTGGATGAAAGAGATTCATGGGTCCGTTTAATAGAAAAGATGTGGAGTTCCAATACCCTCTCCTGGTGCATGATTCTCCCCAACTTTTACATGTTTAACAAGATGGAAGCTCTCAGGAACATGGGGTACTATGGTGTTTGTTATACATGTGTAAGTGCATAAGGGTATACACAAGGCAATTAAATGCAATGTCTAGCACCTTTCCCAACCTGGAGGACTTACAAGAGTTTTCAACCTTTTTCTTCTAGCAAAGAACTCAATCCCTCCCTCAGGTGTTTTTCAAAAGTTGCCTTCATTAACATAACAATATACAACTCTAATGCTCACGAAGCAGGAAATTTTCAAGACTGTGTGAAGCTATGACCCATGAACTCTGGAAGAAGACCAAATATGTATGAGAAATATACTTTGGTAAGCCGAATGTTTCTATCACCCATCTATCATCTATCCTGTAAGTCCATATATCACAACATCCGTTACTCAGTGATCCCAATTTTTAACATATTCATAACCATTGTGGTATATTTAGTGAAGCAAGTAACTTCAAAATATTTCAACAAAGCTATAGACTTCACTTCAGTTTTTTTCTATTTATGTCCATTTTCCTTTTTCAGAATCCAATTCAAGTTACTTCTGATTATCAATGTTTTTCAGTTTCTTCCAATTAGTGACTCTGACTTTCTTGACTTTGATAAATTTAAATAGCTGACTATGTGGTAGAAAATTTCCCAACTTGGTTTTGTCTGGTTTACCCATAACTAGACTGAGATATTCATTTTGACTAAAAATATAGGAAGCACTGTGCCTTCTCATGTGTGACCCAATATGGGGTACAGGATTTTATTAAGTCTTTTAGAGTTTCTAGAATCTTTTCAAAACTCATGTTAAGTAGAATATACACCCCCTTTCTATGTATCCTATGTTAATTTGCTAAGCAACGTGGCTCTGCTTTGGTTATTGGTCATATATAAAGTTATATATATATGTACACATATATATGCCCAAATAAAATATGTCATAGTGAATAATATATTACTCCATAGAAAACTACAAGACACAGAGTATTTTGTAAAGGTTATACTGCCACTGTATCTTCCCTCCTCAAACTTCATATCCTTCCTTTTCCCTTTAAGCTATTCTCCTGTTCCCAAATCTATATATGTGCAGGATTCAAGGGAATATTATTAAATGCAACTAGGTTTTCAACAAGTTAAATCTGCTTGGGTTACATTAGCTCATGGTAGTGACATCATTTTAGTTTGGAATCCAGTAAACAAGTCACTGAATTAGGAGAGTAGTCTCTCATTAAAGGCACAGAATTTTATTAAGAGCATCCTGTCACACAACAACACTGTCTTGGGTGTATTAGTTATATGAAATTCTTGAGATAGTTTTAATGCCAAGTATTTTGGAATCCATCAGCAACTTGAGGTTCATTCCACATATCCCTTAATTAGTATGCAAATCCTAAAGTAGATTATAAATTTAAAACTCTTGAAAGTGACTGTTCTTCAAATGAGGCTTCCTTTCCTGACACCCCGAGTTTCTATAGCAGCTATTAGGATAGGCTGACTATGATTACAGAGTCCTGGTATGTGACCATGGTTGTGACCATAGCAGCTTGAGGATGTCAATTCTTATTCATGCTACAATGAAAGATATTGGTCTCCTATGTTCCTGAGAAGTTCCAAAATTTTTATCTCTGCAGACTTTTTCTTTGAAGTACTATGTGAATTTCTTACCAATTTATAATAACATAATAATTTATAATGTTCAAATAATGACAACTGAATCTCAGTCTAGAAAGCCACATCAGACTTCTTTAATAGATTATCAGAATTTTTCAAAAATTTAAATGAAGACAAAAAAAGCCTTTTTGTGTTTATAGTGTATAGCTGATATATGCTTGAACATGAACATATTTTACACATATGCATATATATATACATACACATGTGTAGATACATAATTTGGGACTGTTTGTGCATGTGTATATCTATATGTGCTTGTGTTTATGATCAAAAAGAGAGAGAGAAAGAGAGAGACAAATTGTTCTCCTTGTGTCAATCTATAATTGATGGTGTGGACATACTGGAAAAAATAGTCATAGTCAACCAGTCGTTTAATAAAATTAATTTTCATAAATTGACTCAATAACTACTGTATCTTGTCAAATCCTTGCCCTCAGTATGACCAATGTTTAACTAGAATCAATGGCAAAATCAGTACTTGCTTTCTCAACACTTCAATCTCTTTTTCACTTGTATTTCATTCTTTCTTGATGACCAGAAGTAAATCTGTGCCTCTGTGTAGCTGTACTCCTTATTCTAAATTGTAAACTATGGCAGCTTGTTTCTACAAGCTAGCAAAATGTATCTGTAAACTGGTTCTATGTACTTTGGTTCCAAATATAGCTCTTTTGTCTGTTATGCCCATGTTGTCACAGAGAAACCACCAAATTTACATGCATTTCAGTGAATTTTTCTCAGAGGTCAGTTTAGCTATGCTTTGAGGCTAACAACTTTTTGTCACTCATTACAAAATAGTACCTTGGAGAGACTAAAACAAACTCCAAGCTAAAATGTGGAGTTTTGTTCCTTCCAGCCTGATTATGTTCAGCAAATATTTTCATCACAACTTCTCTTTGTTAACTCTTTATAGTATTAGTCATCGCATAAGTGGTGATATAACATAAAAAAACAATACCTTCTTACCTCTAAAGGGCTAATGTTAGAATTTTCTTATACCTGGAAGGCATGATTAACTGGTAAAATTTTCTATCCAAACAAAATTTTCTGACTGGAGATAAAAATATAAGGCCAGTGAAATGCTTAACCAGTCCCCAAGTAAATGTACTCCAAAAATATCTAGGAGAAAGGAGGGCAGATTTATCTTTTCTATCCTTAATCTATTAAACATAGACAACACGTAGGGCTATGCCACCTGACACCTCCAACTGACAGGGACATTCATAAGAAAGAAATTCAAATACTTTTCCAGTAAACCTGAATTGAATCTTAGAAGGCAGATCACCAGAGGACTTTGGCCAAAAATCTAGCGTGGAAGCCTTTTAGAAGTTATGAGAGTTGACTCTGTGAACCACTATACCACCCCCAAAGAAGCAGAAATTAATTATTAGATCCATATCAGAAACTTGTAAGTGCAAGTCTTGGAAATTTCCTTAAAGACACACATTAAATTAAAAATATAGTTTAACAAACATGTTTAAAAGGGGTTCAGTGAGATATCTGATACCCCTGATCCACACCCTACCTTCTCCTGCCTTCCATCTCCATAAACTCATCTCTGGATACAGGAGACCAAGAAGACAATATTTTGTTTCACTGTCAAAGAATATGTGGTATTTCACTTTATCTCAAAAGACCATTCTCATATCCCAGGACTTTCATTTCTACATGCTGAAAATCTTGAACACCAAATAATGTTAATCAAGAAGTATGTTCCTTCTTTCTTCTAACTAGTTCCCACAGATGGTTAATAAGCTCTACCTATAAAACAGCAAGTGAACAATCTTGAGTCAATCAAAATGACTTTCCTGTCACTCCAGATCATTCATTGGAAGAATCAAGACAGATGTTTCAAGCCTAAAGCCTGGAGAGCCCAGACGAATGAGGCTTGTTCTCCGTGAGAGAACAAACATACATCTCCTCCTATGTTCAAATCTATAGTTATTTGTGAAATATAAAATTAACATAATATGAAACTAACACCCAAGGACAGTAGAGACAAGGCCCAGGAAGAGAGCTCCATGGCTGCTAGACTGCCTCACGAGCTGGGGGAAAAAGCAGTTGAAATAGAAAAGAGATCACTAAGTTTATGATGGTTGGAGGGATCACTAGGGATGAGAGATGTGTGCTGAAAGTAGATAAAGGACCAAATATGATGACCTCTCAGTATCTGTATTGCAAGCCATAATGCCCAAAAGTAGAGAGAAAGAGGAAAATTGTCTGGCATAAAGGCAGGGAAGGTGTGAGGTGGGGGAAGAGGGCTAATACTGGGGACATTGGTGGTGGAAAATGTGCACTGGTGGAGGGATGGGTGTTTGATCATTGTATGACTGAAACTCAACATGAAAGCTTTGTAACTCTATCTCATGGTGATTCAATTAAAAAGTAATCTATAATAGTTTGTTCCTGTATTTGTACAGGACTAGAGATGTCATAAAAACATTAAATTTTTCCCAAAATTACTTAGTTTATTTACAAGTTCAAGATTGGTTAGGAAATTTAAAGTGAGGTGCACTTGAAAACTACAAAGATTTTTGATGGTCAATAATAAAAATGAAACTGATTGTTCTAAGATTATAAGCGGCTATGTTATAGCCAACTGGTTTATCAAAATGAATTGGGGGGAAAGAGAGCTTTGAAGAATCATCCCAAATGGAAAACACATCTCAAATCCTGCCTTCAAAAGCTACTCTTACTAAGGAGTTCAAATATCATCAAATTTGACCATAGAACAATTTATGCCTAAAGGTGTTGTTGATAATAGAGTTTAATTAGTTGATATATAATAAACATCATAGAGTAAAACCAACAAAAGGGAGCCTGCCTATGAGAGAAATAAGGGGAAAAGAAATATATTTTATTGCATGTAAGTGCCTATGTGGTTGTTGTCAAAGATTGTGGCCTCCATCTTTTTAGATTCTTTTCTTTGTTGACTCAGAAACAAGAAAACCATGTTGAGAATTGATTTGTGGAGAACTATAGATTCTTTCTTTCCATGCTGAGCTGAAGGTAGTAACTCTTCATTCCAACAAATGAACTGAGTTATTCCAACAACATGATCATGGAAATGGATCCTTCCATTGCTAAGCCCCAAATATGAGGCAATCCATGTTCAACATCTTGAATTCTAATCTTGCAAGATACAGAATCTTCTGTGCCTTTAACTGATATAATGTTTTTAACCATCTATTCATCCAAATTTGTGCTAATAATAGATTCTAAAATCTACTCTAAAATCTATTCTAAAAATCTATTATTAGGTAGTAGTGATGCAATATGTTATTAAAACATTGCTTAAGTCATAAGTCTTATACTTTAAAGTGGATAATTTGGGGTTCAAGAAGATAGTTTTAAAAATGAGAGCACAGACTTTGCACGAAAAGGGAAAAGGTATGGCCTAAGGATCCCATATTCTCCTGGACACCTCCAAGAGCAACCCTCAAGCACTGAGCCTGGGGAAGCTCCTGAATATCTCTGGGTATAGTTCCTCCTAAAAATAAAAAGGGATATTTTTTAAACCTATTTTAACGCGGCCAACATGGCCGACCCGAGTTCGATTCCTCTGCCCCTCTCAGAGAGCCCGGCAAGCTACCGAGAGTATTCGATATGCCAGACACAGTAACAACAAAGTCTCCAGTGGAGACGTTACTGGGCCCGCTCGAGCAAATCGACGATCAACGGGAGGGCCTTTACCTTTACCTTTAACATATTACATTTTGAGGGACTGAGAGATAGTACATAAGTGAAGACACTTGCCTTGTCCACGGCTACTTTCTTCTATTCATGACATAAAAGCACCAGGAGTGATCCCTGAGCACAGTGTCAGGTGTAAGTCCTGAGTATTGGCAGATATAACCTCTCCCCCAAATTAAATAAAATAAAGTAGTACATTTAATAAATAATATTAAAAGTTAGAAGGATGTCCCTTGACAAATTATTTTGAAAGACACGGCTACAAAAACTGGGGGAAATTTCTTTTTCTGTACTACATAGTGCAGTGAGACAATGCCTGTCTTAATGCATAAGAAATACTTGATTTAAAAATAAGTTACCCAGCATAGTAAATATGCCTTAGTAGCAGAATATATAATCATTTTCAAAACATAAGAAAATTTCCTAAGACAACTGATGCTTGAATCAGTAAAGAAACAAACCTTAAGAAATCTTAAGCAATAAACATTACTCTCTCCCAAAGAGAGTAATAGTGAGCTATCTTTAAAACATAAACAAACTGAAAGAGTCTTTAAGTAAAACTGGACACTAAATGATTGTCATAAAATCCAGGATTGCTTTGAATTGAAGAAATTTATTGGGTCAACACAGAAACCAATGTTAATATGAAAGTCTTCAAAGCAGTTGTTTGATACCATCATTCTGATGGAAACAGAATGATGAGATGAATTCCGCCAGCTTCCACTCTTCCTGAATCAAATATACAGGAAATGGAGTTATTCGTATACTGGAGAGTACTAGAAGGTAAGTCATCCCCAAGTTTCAAAAACAGTGAATCTCAGTGTTCCAGTAAACAGTGTAGGTGTCTTCTATGGCATTCTCAATAATAGTAGCCAAAGCCAGAGCCATAGCCAGAGCCACATCCATAACCACAGCCATAGAGAGAGCCAGAGCCATAGCCATAGCCACAGCCCAGACCACGGTAGCCAGAGCCGTAGCAGGATCCATAGCCACAGCCCAGGCCACCATAGCCATAGCCCAGGCCTCCATAGCCACAGCATCCATAGCCACGACCTCCATAGCCATAGCCCAGGCCTCCATAGCCACAGCATCCATAGCCACGGCCTCCATAGCCATAGCCCAGGCCTCCATAGTAGCTTCCGTAGTAACCACACATGGTGCTGGTTATTGAGGTTGTCCTTGGGTGGAGGAGGAGAGTGAGAGACTTGGGTCTGCTCTGTCACCCTGCACAGGGCCTTTTATATGCCCTCCCTGTGGGAGCGACTCACCACATAAATCATGTCACTCAGTAATTTGCAAGACAATCCGAGTAATTTGTTGACTCCTGGCCTTAAGGCATGCCTCAAGGACATAGAGGGCATGACTATTGTTCAGCCACACCTGAATCATTTATGAGTCATTAATTTGAATTGTCTCCTTCAAAAGTGGACTTACACAAGATCTTCCAGGAACCAGCATTTGTGGCAAGAAATCGCATTTAATAGACATTCTGACCTACTCCAGACAACCTATAAATTTTACCTTCTTTTGGCTGACATTCAAAAGGTCATGATAATATGTTTTGATTTTAAAGCTCTTCATTTCTTGTCTGCTGTTTCTAACCCCCTCAAAGGTGAATATAAACAATTAAGTAATTAAAGACATATAAAAAATATAGACAATATTTTCTATATTCTCTATCTTTAAATAATATAGACAATTATTTTAAGACACAATACTGGGAGAGATCTCATTTACAGTTCTGTATTTTTATAAGCAAGAAAATTTCCAGGAAAATATTTCATTCTATGCAAAGTGATTTTGAGCAGCCATTTTCTTTACGCAATTAACCTGAGATATAAATTCAGTGATTAAGTGATCTCTTCAAATACAAAATCTTAGTAAGATTACTTAATGGGACTCAATAGGAAAGAGAAAAGAGTAAAACATCTCTAATCCACTCTCTGAATTCAAATTTTACCTCAAAAAAATATAGCTCTATGACCATTATAACTATGTGCCTCCATTTCCCCATCAACAAGTGTAATGATAACCATAATACTTTAAAGATAAATTTGAGAATTATATCAGCTACTTTGTGCCAAACAATTAGAACTGCATCCTGCACATAGTTGATACTAGAATAAAATATCATTTATATTTACAGAATAGTAATTTATTTAATTATTTTCTTGGGTATAAGCTTTATTTGAAAGTTAATAAATTAAGCAAGAGAATTCAGACATAGCAAAGTCTTTTTTTAAAAGTATTGTACCTTTGACTAAAGAGAAGAAGCAGCATACACCAAGACCATACATCAAAAAGCAAAGAAAGACATATTGATTTTACCCCAGAAACAGCAACAAACACTAGTTACTCAACAAACAGTATTAGAAAGAGTTCAACAATTAATGTCCACTGAAATGGACCTCAGAGCAGACTCATTAATCTCACTCATTAATTAATTTTCACCATCAGGATATAGGTAGGAAATGGATTAACTAGACTTTTGTGTTGTGGCCATGGCAAATGATAATATGAACTATGCTGATTGCATGTCAACCAAACAAATGAAAGCAGACCCTGCCAGTTAAGAACACACTTGCGCACTTTGAACTTTATCATGGGAAAATAAATATTGGTGAATCATGTTTTAATTCAAATGACTAGACTATACTGAGTTTTGCTGGTTTTACTCAAAAGGTACAAGAATAAATGCTTTATCATTTAGCAGGAATAGTGACTCAAAAGAGAATTTAGTGAAATATAAAAAATAGAAGTTTGTTCACATAAAAAGAGGTCTAATCAAACTACCACCTTAACTATATATTTTAAATACAATTGTCTTAACTATATAAACAAATTGAACACTACACCACCTTTTTCACACTTGAAATAAATATTTTCCCTAAACATATCTACTTCGACAAAATTTAAGAGTAATTTCCTGGACAGAAATGAACAAATACATTTATGATATTAATAAATTCAATATTGAATCAATTGGTTTGCATAATTTCTGTAACTTCTTAGAGATTTTGTAGAATTTAAATTTAAGGCCTCAATGGAAATAGATTTAAAACTAGGTCAGTTATCTGTCATAGAAAGCACATGATTTGATTGTGAAAATCTTGACATAACCTAAGAGTAATTGTCACTATGAAGGTTTTACTATGACATAAAGTAAAAGATTTTTGAATTATGTGTTGTAAGTACTATTAATGGTTAATCAAAATAATTTGTTGATGAGAACAGTATTGCCTCTGCTTTTCATACCAATTACTTGAGAGATGTAATTTTCTAAAGTTGGGAGTAATTAAGAAACTCTTCATATTTCGTACCTGTACCATCCACTCCTGAGACTGGATCTAAAGATTCCCTGGACCGTATGATTCATAATTTCAGCTTCTCCTTTTAAACATTTAAAAGCTATTTTTATATTTAGTACTTTTTTATCTATAACAAAGAACAAAAGGTAAAGGTAAAGGTAAAGGCCCTCCCGTTGATCATCGATTTGCTCGAGCGGGCCCAGTAACGTCTCCATTGGAGACTTTGTTGTTACTGTGTCTGGCATATCGAATACTCTCGGTAGCTTGCCGGGCTCTCTGAGAGGGGCAGAGGAATCGAACTCGGGTTGGCCATGTTGGCTGCGTGCAAGGCAAACGCCCTACCACTGTGCTATCACAGGTCAGACAATACATCTTTCAAATTCTTCTTTCAAATTCACTGGTATGCCGAGCAGCAATAAGAAGACAGGAAGCATGCTTGGTTCCGAAGAGCTGGGCCACCGCAGTGAGTAAAGCCATGGTGGGCGCATTCGGGGGTGTGCTTGGGTGGGAAGAAGGGGAGAGAGAGAGCTGCGCAGGAACCCGAGCCGCTGAAGCCTCAGGAGAGACCGCGGTGGCACAGGGACAAGGTTGAAAGGAGGTGGCTGAGGGAAAGGGTAGAAAAGGGGCGGTGCCCAGACCAGGGTCTTCGGCGAGGCCCTGCCCAGTACTAGTTTTTAAAACTGGGTCATAAGATTAATTAAGGACATATTTGGTTTGCCACAACATAAGTCATGCTTTTCACATTTTCTCAATATGCAAAATATTTTATATATATAATAGTATAATGAAATTTTCTTAAATGGCTCTCTAAAAATAGCACAATCAATGGTAAGAGAGAAAAATAAAAGGAAAATTAAGACTGTAATCCATAGATGTAATACATGGTTCTAGCAATTGGGACATAGGCTACAGTAGTATGATCATATTTTGGTTTTATTCCATTATGTTATTATTTATTCACTTATTTCGTTTCATTTGGGGATCACACCCAGCAATGTTAAGGACTCCTTCCAGCTCAGAGCCTGAGGTCATTTCTGGTATTGCTCAGATGACTATGGGATGCTGGAATTAAACCTGGGGCCTCTTACATGCGAAGAATTTACTCCAACACTTTGAGCTATTCCCACAAGTACTATTACCTTTTTATAATGAGTAAATGAAAATTAAGTAAATTAATGAATACAGCTGACAGATGTTTGTTAAACTCTTACATGATTTCTTTAATGTTCAAAATGTTCAGATGCATCCATCGAGGATCTGATGGTAAAAGCGCGAAAGATCAATTACGACACCATTGGTCTGACCGAGACAAGAAGGCACCAATCTCATCACTCTGTTTTCGACACTGGAGAAGAATTGTTCCTCGGAACATGCAATAAAAGAGGTGTTGGAGGAGTCGGTGTCCTTGTCAACACAAACTTGGCCAAGAGCATTGATTCATTTGAATGCCTAACAACCCGAATCGGACGTTTACATTTGAATAGATGTGACTCACTGCCTGCAGTTTCGATCTTCGTTGTCTACACACCAACATCCAATTATGATGAAGGAGAAACTGAGAAGTTCTACATGGAGCTGGAGAAGTTCTATAAAGAAGACCACACCTTCTACAAGATCTTTGTGGGTGATTTTAATGCCAAGATAGGACCGAGAAGATCAGCCGAAGAAATTCACATCGGGACCCATGGCCTAGAAAGGAATGAACACGGTGAGAGACTGTCTGAGTTCATCATGTCGACCAAGACCATCCATGGTAACTCACAGTTCCAGAAGGCCGAATCTAAACGTTGGACATGGGAATCTCCTGGTGGACTATTCCACAACAAAATAGAACACATCATATTCAATCGACAGTTTTGCCTGACTAATGTCGCCGCTGTTCCAAAATTCCAAACAGGATCGGACCACCGTTTCCTTCGTGCAAAATTCTACTTCACAGAGCCGGGAGAAAGGGCTGCAAAGTTTAAAAAGAGAACTCCCAGAATGACCACCAACTGGGAGCTCTTTGGCACTATTGCGGCAACACGGGAAGATGCCATTGTTGACAACATTGACGAGGAATACGTTCGACTGGTTCAGCACCTTCATGATTGTGTGAGGAACGCCAAGAGAGAGATAGCCACAAAAAAAACACCTGTCTTCAAAAACTCTTGAGCTTATTCGCCAACGTGGTTTGGCGCAGGCCTCAGGAAACTGCAAGCGAACATCCGAGCTCACAAAGCAGTGCAGAGATGCGATCAAGGAAGATTTCAAATAGAGAAGAGCAGAAGTGCTGGTAGATGTGGCAGAAGCCAGGAAAAGTATTTGTAACGCCCGCCTGTCCTTCGCCAAGTACAAGACCAAGATGACTGCTCTCCAAAGGAGATGGTGGTGTGATCCCGTTTGGAATTTTGGGACAACAGCGACATCAGTCAGGCAAAACCCTCAACTGCATATGATGTGGTCAGTTTCGTTGTGGAACCGTCCACCAGGAGACTCCCATGCCCAACATTTAGATTCGGCCTTCTGGAATTGTGAGTTACCGTGAATGGTCTTGGTCGACATAATGAACTCAGACAGTCTCTTGCCCTGTTCATTCCATGGGTCCCTATGTGGAGTTCTTCGGCTGATCTTTTTGTTCCTATCTTGGCATTAAGATCACTGACAATTATCATGTAAGAGGTGTGGTCTTCAACACCCAAACGGAGAGAGAGAACACAGGGGATTGCCCTGCCACAGAGGCAGGGGAGGATGGGGGGATGGGGGTGGGAGGGATATTATCCATGGTGGTGGAAAATGGGCACTGGTGGAGGGATGGGTATCTGATCATTGTATAATTGAAACCCAAGCACAAAAAATTGTAAATCTA